CAACTTTGTTTTTGTTCCTGATTCACAGCATCCGCAGTTCTTTTAGTTTCTGAAAGGCAGTTGCTGGCTAGTTAGGCAAGTCAGAAAATGACACAGCACAGAAGGAGGCCATTCAATCCATCAGGTTTTGTTAAAAGGTTATTCAATTATTCTACTCTCCTGCACTTCCTACGCAGCCGTGCAGATTACTGCTCTTAAAATGCTCCAAAACTCCCCCTTTTTGTCACGTGTTAAATCATCATCCTTCTCCGATTGAAACAATTTCTCTCTAACTGGTTAGCTCAGTTGGCTGAATAGCTGGTTTGCAATGCAGAGTGATGCCAACAGCATGGGTTCAATTCCCACACCAGCTGTGGCTACCATGAACCTTCTCAACTTCTCTCCTCGTCTGAGGCACGGTGACCCTCAGGTTAAACCACCACCAGTCATCTCGCTCTCTAATAACAGAGCAGTCCTTTGGTCTGGTGAGACTGTGCTGACTTTAAAGTACCTTTGGACGTAGCTCTTAGGGCTAAAGGGCTCAAAGAACATGGGGACAAAGTGGAAAAAGGACATTTAGCTTCATGATTATATTGCACAGCATAGCAGGCTCATTGGGTTGAATGGCCTATTCCTGCTCCCATTTTCCATGCTCCTAATTTAGAGCACGTGGGGTGGAGTTTTGGATTTCAGCAGCAGATAAGTAGAGGTAAGGGACGCTACAGGAATGTTACAGACAGAGGTAGGCAGTCCCGATGGTGGCATGAATATGCATGAGGGAAGCTCATCTCTGGATCAAGGATTGTGAACAGTCTGGCTCAGCCTTAGGCAGGTGTCAGGGTCTGTAATGGACAGGGGTGGTCCCACAGCTTCATGATTACTTCAATTGATTTTTCAAACTGAATTCATAGCAGCTTGAGAATTTGAATATCGACTGTATTGTGGTGGAATGTTAACTCACATACTCGACATCAATAGTCCAGGGCCTTGGATTGCTAGCAGAGTAGCACAGCCATTGTACTACAGCAACGTACTGGTAAGGAAAAGAAAAGAAAAAAAACTTTCTGTTAACTATGTAAAGTATGTGCACTGCCTTCTTTTGATATCTGTAGAACAAGGGAGCTGCGCTGGCAATGTACTGAAATTAATTTGAAAGAATTTGTAGATGCTTTTTATTTGTCTTAATCACCATACCATTTCACCCTCCTTTTAGGGTGAGATATCAGATGCCTTATATCAGAAGTATCAAAATCATCAGAAAAATAATCATATTTGGTTTTCTTTTAAATATTCATGGAGATCCACAAGATTATGATACATAGACCAACATGCAAATAGATAGTCACGGTGAAGAGTTTTTCTCAAAACATTTCCAAGGCTTCACACACAAGCATGAGGAATATGACTGCCAAATCAGGAAGGAAGAGTCGAAGATCAGAATTTTAAATGTAATAGTTGAATTATAAGGTGCCAAACGACACAGATTATGGGCGAAGGATAGGGGGCATCATAGGTGTGATGGAGTTCAGGGCAGGTTGAAGTTACCAGAGAAGGGAGGGTGAAGGAACCAACAAGGAGACCACTTGAATGCGTGAATCTGCTGGTAACGAGGAGGAATGGACAACATTATAGAGATGGAATAAAAGGAGGTTTTAAAAGTGCAAAGCAGTAAGTAAGTAATAGATATTAGAGTGGAAGCCTCCTCAGATCAATAACATTTGACAAGAGGCTTTGCATTGGAGTCCAGTCTGCAGTAGAACAGGGTAAAGGCTATTAAAAGGTCATTGACTTGCTTCCACTAAAACCAAGTGCTGGAAGTGGCATGTTATTTCTTGTACACACTCAAAGTAACAACATCAGCAATGCTAAAGGATCTGTGTCATGGCGTTAGACCATAGACTTGTCAAGGCCACGGTATGTGAATCCACACTGTCACATTCTTCACCAAAACACCTCTGTTCACTGCTGACTGTGCCACCAACTGAATCGCTGCATTGAAAGCCAACAGTGCTGACATAAACACAGCAGGAGTTAGAGGCACCAAGACTCCGTTCAGCTCAATGTTGATAAATGGTGAAGTTAGCACTTTTGACAGTTCAGAGGTGCAACTGAAAAAGTTTCATTTATACAGAACTTTTAATGTCATCAAATGTCCCAAAGCACCCAAAAGGATTAATTACCGAGCAAAATATGACACCCAACCACATATGGGGATATTAGGTAAGGGAGCCAAAAATGTGATCAAGGAGGTAGGTTTTAAGGAATGTCGTAAAGTGGGGCAGAGGGTTGGAGTGGTGCAGTAATGAAATTCCTGGGCTTGGAGTCTAAGCAATTGCAAGCAGGGTCACCAATGGTGGCCAATATTTATTCCACAGCTATCATCATGGTAAGTGTTTATCTCTTCATTGCTGTTTGTGGGAGCTTGCTGCGCACAAATTGGCTGTTCTTTCCTACACTACAACTATGATTCACTCTAAAAGTACACCAATGACTGTTATGAATGAAGTTACATAAGTAGAAGTCTTTCTGAATTTCTACTGGGTGGAGGCAGCGCAGTTTGAGCAACTGTAGACAATAGAAAATTGGCTTCAATGGAAATAAAACGAGAGGAGTCGGTAAACAAGCTCCCTATTAATTATTGCTCATATTACACTATTCTACAAAATCAAGATCCACCACATAATGGGGACACTGTAGCTTGGTTTATGTCAACTTTGAAATTTAAAAAGCTTGTATCAGTACAAGTGACCATGAAGCAGCCAGATTGTTGGGAAAAAAAAAGCATCGGCATCCTTGAAGAAAAGAAACTTGCCATTATGGGACTCCAGTGCTACCATACCTCACAGGGGAAGCAATGGCCCAGTGGTATTATCACTAGACTATTAATCTGGAAACTCGGCTAATATTCTGGAGACCTGGGTACAAATCCTGACAAAACAGGTGGTGGAATGTGAGTTTGATGGGAGAAGGGCATTGAGGGTCTAATGATAACAATGAAACCATTGTTAGTTGTCATGAAAAACCCATCTGGCTGAATTATGCCCTTTAGGGAAGGATACCTGTCAACCTTACCTGGTCTGGCCAACATGTGACTCAACTGCCTCTGGGCATATCGGGATAGGAATAAATTCTGGCCTAGCCAGAGATGCCCAAGTAATGTGAGTGGGGAAAGAAAAGTCTCCAGTTCTAATGATTGACACATAATGGGGAATGTGGGGAACGGATAATCTGATAGGATTATGGGAAGTATGGGTGGGAGTACACTAGCAAGGGCCTGTTGGGCCAAATGGCCTGTTTTCTGTGCTGTCAATTCAGTGTAACTCCAGGTAAAGGGGTTACATGAAGGCGGCCATTTTCTCAGGGTTACCACAGAAGGGCCCTAAGCCGGCTTTACCCACATCCTGAGAATGTATTAAACAAAATTTATTGCATTAATGGAGACTATTCCATTTAGCCAGTCACAGAAATTATAGTCATACAGGAAAGGGTGCATCTAATTCATGTTGACTCATTTAATTAGAAGGTTGAGACTGGCACCATTATGCATGACCCAGGAGATCTGATGTGATATTCTAGGATGGGTTTAGACTGAAGATTGGGAACAAGGAGTTAAGGCCATGGTGACAAGAAAGGCCATTAAATCTTCACTGATTAGCTCTTCTTGATGCTCCTTGCAATACAAGAGTGCTAGCCATCCTGACACTCTGCTGCAAGGCATCTAGCACCTTCTTACCAGCAATGTCCAGATGTGTTGAAAATTATGTGGACTACATTTACCGTGATATGGATTGTATAGACAAACCTCTCCTGACTTGATAAGACAACAAGCTTGTTAACTCTGCAATGGCCCACTCACTGATAGCCTGAAGGGGGTGGGGGGAAGCTCATACCATTAGATCGTAAGGTACAGGAGCAAAATTAGGCCATTCGGCCCATCGAGTATGCTCTGCCATTCAGACATGGCTGATATGTTTCTCAACCCCATTCTCCTGCCACTTGCCCCATTTGCAACGCTCCTCTCGTCATTCTGAGATGGGTCATTACTTTTGGCATCAAGTCTCATTATCTACTTGTCAACACTTTCTTGAGGGGTTGCAATGTGAAGAATGGAAGAATCAAGGTAATTTGTAGCAACTCTGACACTGCCTGTGGAGGATCATTTAGATGTTGCTGCACACACTTTAGGAAAGGTTTTCATTGGCATATTTAATCAACTGAAAGCAAACGCTTGCAAAGGAACATGGCATTAGCTGCTACACATTGCACTGCCATTGTTGTTATTGTAATTAATGCTTCGGCTCAGTCATAAAACACTGGTGAGCTCCATGCTGAGTACATACCAGGGAAGCAATCTGACTGAGTCTGTGTGCAGAGGTGTGTACAAAGAAAATTGAGGCTGGCAGACCGATGCAGTACTGAGGCAGGACTGTGCTGTCAGAGGCACCTTGTCTTCAACGAAAATCTCAACCATCACAGCCCTGGGGGGGGATGGCGGTGGCATAGTCAGAATGGTACTGGCCTGGTCGTCCAGAACATCCCATGCCCTTAGGTTGTAGGTTTACATTGCATAATCACAGCTGGTGGAATTTCAAATCAATGCCTAAACTCTGGGACAGGATGCAAATCACAGCAATTGTGAAGCCATTATGAATTGTTATTAAAAGCCTGCCTGATTTGCTTAAGAGAAAGCTGCCGCTCTTTTCTGCCCTGGTTGACTCCAGACCTACAGCAACGTGGCTGACTCTTCACCGCTCTCTGAAATAATGCAGCAAGCCACTCAGTTCAATGGGAATTAGTGATGGGGAGCAAATGCTGGGCCTTGCCAGTTATATTCAAGTTCCTCTTTGAAAGGGTGAATAAAAAGATTGTCTGACTGTTCCCACATTGTTGTTTGTGGGATCTTGCTGTACACAAAAGGTGACTCCTTTGTGATACAGTGATGACACTCCAAATGGTACCTCAATGTAGGGTGCTCTGGGGCATTCTGAGATTGTAAAAGATGTTTGTCGTTATTGTTGCAGAAAGGACTACACCTCTGGTCCTCTGTACAACCCAACCCCGAATCAACAGCGCAAAAGCAAGGGGCTCTCGAAATGGGTTCAAACTACATTGGAGATGAGTAGACGAGGAGAAAGTCCACCAGTCTCGGTTATCAGCATTTTGAATGTTACGCTTGAAAAGCTGGTGGAAGACGATGCTATAAATAGTGCTCTGTGGGAGTTGGACGGTGCTGAGGATGTGGAACGTCAGGATTATGGATGGAAAGTGCAGATGTGGGACTAAACACGACTGCTCCTCAAACAGCCAGCATACCCAGAATGGACCGAATGGCCTGCAGCGCTGTGAGTTTCGATGATCCTGCTCACAGCACGAGTGAGTTCTAGAGCCCCACACCCACTCCAAAGGGGGGAAAGGGAGAGGGGAAATGTGCGGTTCAAGCACTTGGTGGGGAGATGCAGTGAAATTACAAAGCACTCCTTGTCCTCAGCTTGCTCCCAGTGCTGCTATCGGTTATCAGCGACTGACCTGTAACTGCTACTCATGTGGTACAGCTCACAATCTGCTCTCAAGGCAAGAGCCAACTCTGCAAGGGCAGAATCTATCATTTGATGGGGAAACCCATCCAGTTCAAGGAGAACACACCCCCCCCCACCCCAAGCCACCAAACAGGCAGCACTGGCCTCTCACAGAGAAAACTGCAACAATTTGGCAAGAAATCCGCCAAACGCAATGCATCCCATTCGCCGGAATGCTGCTGTTACAGCTGGCACCCTGTACCGTCTACACACCGAGCCCCCTGAGCCTCCACAACCCCCATTTACTCGCTGATACTGACACTCAGCTCGGCCCCAAAACAGGAACAAGGCGCAGGCGGCTGCTCAGAGACACTGGGAAGCGGGAGGGTTCACACAAATAGAGGGGACAGCTCCCTCTAACCACACACACACACACACACACACAGCTTTGCACAATCACCTGAAGTACAGCTCCTTCAGGCACGGATCCGCAGAAGAAGAAGAAAAAAATTCAATCCTGAATAGGATTAACCTTTCTTCTCTACCCCCTCCCTCCCCTTTTGCATCTACCAAGTGATTAGAATACAGAGAGATTTAATTAGCATCTCACACACACACACACAAAACAGCCTAACAACAATGAATCATTTTGAGTACTTTGACAGCCTCCGCCATGCGTTCAAATTTGAGACTACTCCGTCAAATCCTGCATCGGTATTATTCACAAGTCCAGGTAATTGCTGGTAAATTTGTGCAATTTTCCTTGTGTGCAAAAAGCATTTCGAAACGGTCAGGAGGTAATGCAGATTCCCACAGGAGGACCGCAGGCTTGAACGCTTACCTTTCTCCCCGTCGGCTCCCCGAAGGCAGAATGAGCTGCCTTAAAATGTCAAAGATATTCCCCTGAATATCTAGATGTCTAAGGAAGAGAGAGAGTCTTGCTCCTCATCGCTCGCTTTCATTCCTCAATGCGGTCTTGTTACCAGCTTCACTGTTTTCTGCCTTACATATGCGGAGCATGTGTTCAGGCTCACATCTGTGAGCCATTGAGAAGTAAACTGCAGTCTCTTTTTCTCCCCCCCAAAAAAATTCCCTATTTTTCCCCCTCCTCCTTCCCGGTAAATATTAGGAAGTGCAGATGGAGCCCAGATGGGTCCTGCGTGTAGCCGAAATGACCAGTTTTCAGATGGCCCTGTCTACCTCGTCACAAATACATATCATTCCAAGCCCTGGTTGATAAATGATGTCACTAAACACATGCCCCCTTCTATAATGCCTTGGCCAATCAGCCCTGGAGTCTAGACGTTGATCCCTTTAACATATTAACCTCATTTGCAGACAGCATCGTTCTCCTGGCTGCCTGTGAAACTGGCTCAGCAACAACAAAAAATGAATGAACTGCTTGAGTACTTTCTATTCTCTCTCGATCACTGGAGTTTCTTGTGTGAAGAGCCACAAATTGACTCAGTCCAGCTGACGGCTCCGAGAGAGGGCTCTTGGGTTTTCTTCCTGGGTTGTAAATATTTATGGCTTTCAGATTTCAGAAAAATAAATTATTTCTACACACTGCTGTTGGAAACGCGCTGCAAATGAGCAGGAATTCTAAAAGCTAAGGCAAACCCAGGCTCAGTCCCTGCTCTGCACTGTCATTGGATTTCAGCCAGGGCACCCTGGGAGGTACCATGCTCACTGTTTGGATGTTGTCAGGAGGGACATGAGAAACAAAGCCAAATTAGTGATAACAAGGTCCAGACCCGAAACATCGGCCTTCCTGCTCCTCTGATGCTGCTTGGCCTGCTGTGTTCATCCAGCTCTACACCTTGTTATCTTAGATTCTCCAGCATCGGCAGTTCCTACTATCTCTCCAAAGCCAAATTAGTCCTAGGTTTCTGCTCCCATTCCCTGGTTGGGGATGGGATATGCAAAAGGATCTGTTCCACATATCCCAGTAGTCCAGCTACAAACAGACCACTCGGCCCATACAGCCCATTCTGGGATCAGGCTTCAATCAACCAGCCTTTCCTCGTCCAACTGTATCAGTATTACTCGCTCCTCCCTTCTCTCTCTTGCATTTGGTTCGGTTGCTAGCAATTTTTATTCAATGTTTACCCTCAATCAACATCACGAAGACAGATTATCAGGACATGATCACATTTCTGATTATGGGAATTTACTGTACAAACAGCATGATGGCCCATTGGTTAGCACTACTGCCTCAAGCATGAGGGAGCCAGGTTTGATTCCACCCTCCAGTGACTATCTGTTTGCACATTCTCCCTGTGTCTGTGTGGGTTCCCACCAGGTGCTCCGGTTTCCTCCTACAGTCCAAAAATGTGCAGGTTAGGTGGTTTGGTCATGCTAACTTGTCCCATAGTGTCCAGGGATGTGCAGGCTAAATGGACTGGCCATGGGAAATGTAGGGTTATGAGGTTAGGTTTGGATGGGAGGGTTGGTACAGAATTGATGGGCCAAATGGTTTCTCCCTGCACTGCAGAAATTGTGTATTCTATTCTAACATTGGCTGCCTCGTTTCCCATATTACCACAGCAACTACACTTCAAAAGCTTTTAGTCAGCTTTGCAACATCTGGTAGTCATGAAAGGCGCTCTGTAAATGTAAGTCCCTTTTTTTCTAGCCTCCCCTTAAATCCATCAATACTAGTCACTTCAAACACTCCCTACACCAGCAGGTTCTGCATTATAGCCATTTGTTGAACAAAGAAGATTCATCAGAATGCCTGATTTAATTTCTTGGAGACTATCTTACGTTGACAACTTTAACCTTCGATGCCATGTTGGAGATGGTTCATGGTTATGGATAGACATAAAGGAAATCAGGCTGGATTACTGTAGCCTCGGTATTGAGCCACCATTTCTTCAGGGATATAAGAGCGTTAGCAGCAGAAATAGATCATTCAATCCCTTTAACATGCTTGACCATCCAATAGCATAAGTGTCTTTGTTCCATGCTGTTACCCAACAAACTTATCAGTCTTGAAAATTCCAAATGTTCCCTCAGTTTCTACAGTTGAGAGTATCTGGATGTAACAGGGTTCCAGATCGCTATTTGCCTTCATACTGCAGACAGAAAGAGACTGGCTCTCAAAGCTTTTCATCTTGCACTCATCAGGACAGTGGCAAGAATGCCAAATTTCAAAGAGTACTCTTGCTTCTGGCCTAATGAGTGCCAGATGGAGAGCTTTGAGAGAATAGATCATATTTTCAGCAAAATTCTAAACTTCTTTTAAAGACCTGATTCCCTCACTGGTTAGACCAGCATTTATTGCCCATCCCAAACTATCATTGAGAAGGTGGTGGTGAGATGTCTTCTTGAACCCCTGCAGTATGTGTGGTGTAGGTACACACATGGGGCCTTTAGGGAGGCAGTTCCAGGATTTTGACACACCGACATTGAAGGAATGCTGATATACTTCCAAGTCAGGATGGTGTGTGGCTTGGAGGGAACTTGCAGGTGGTGGTGTTTCCTTGTATCTGCTGGCCTGACCTCCTAGGTGTGGTTGTGGTTGAGATTGTGGTTTGGATGGTTCTTACAGAGAAGCCTTTCTGAGTTACTGCAGTGCATCTTGTAGTTGGGTCGCTCTGCTACTACTGTGCAGTGCTGGTGGAGGGAGTGAATGTTCAAGGTGATGGATTCAGTGCCAATCAAGCAGGACTGCTTTGCCCTGGAGGGCAGCTGAAATTCTTGAGTGTTGTTGGACTCATCCAGGCAAGTGGGGAGTCAGAACGTGAGTTACTCACTGTGTGTGTATGTGTGTGTATGTGTGTATATCTGTGTGTGTCTGTGGTGTGTGTGTGTCTGTGGTGTGTGTCTGTGGTGTGTGTGTGTCTGTGGTGTGTGTGTCTATGGTGTGTGTGTGTGTGTGTGTGTGTCTGTGGTGTGTGTGTCTGTATCTGTGTGTGTGTATATCTGTGTGTGTGTGTGTGTGTATCTGTGTATAT